AGTGTTTTAGTTGTCCTCTGTTCTCACACGCTGTCAAACTGTCGCCGTCTAATGACGTTCCTTTATTTCTGTGTTGCAGAATAAATTGTTAGAATGAATGATTGTTTTCAGATTAAATATTTTTAATGGATTGACTATTAGATTTAGGTCCTTGTTTGAATATACTGATCTATCCAAAGTGATGACCCGGGGTTAAATGTTTGACATTGAAGTTTTTGTTGAAGTCAGTTAGAGTATATTCTAGTTGTATCCTGCTTGACAAAAATTATGTAGTCGTCGAGCTCGTTTTCGAGTTACCGCGTTGTGAATTGTTTTCTGCGCAGTCTGCTGTCTGGGAGGAGTTTGATGACTTGAAATTGATGGTTGAAAGGTAAATCAGCTAAATTTCTTTAATTGGTGGTATCTGTTTGGTAAGGCTTCGAAAGTAGTCTTCTATGAATTCTTCGAGGAGTACTGGTTATTTGTAAGTTATCACTGTTATGTTGCTGATAGACTGAATCAATTTTGATTAGGGTTTTTTTTCTCGTTTTTCGGGTTCTTGTAAATTAATTTCACGTCTGTGATCAACTTCTACCGGTAAATACTCGGATAACCCGGTAGGAATTTTGAACGATTAACTGCATAAAGGGGTGTTGAGTTTTTTAGTTCCTGTTTGCATTAGCTTTTCATAGAATGTTTTATATGAATTTTATTTAAGGATATAATCGCTTACTAACTTGGTTGCGTTTTCTTTAACAGGGAAATGTTTATCAAATGGTTTTTATGGTCTACTTTTTTAATCTAATTGATTTTCATAATTTGCGTTGGTTATCTTTTTTAATACTGCATATGTACCTGATCTTAATCATATTTTTTTTGGGTTTTCCCTCTTCCAGAGAGTGGTTTTCCATGAGAATTTTCTGTTCTAGATTTAAAGGTTATCTAACTTGAATTTTTTACGATATTCATGAATTTTTGCATTTGTTTCTGAATTTTTTCTGATATGTGGGCTGTAGATAAAATTGAATTGGTTTTCTCTTATTAAAAAACAATTGTGTATTTTCTATTTTAGAAGTAGTGGTGGTTGATATCTGTAGAGTGTGTCTATGTAGTGGTAGATTCTGACAGAGTTTCTTAGTAGTCCTCGGTTTAAAAAAAGCGGTATTTCTGGTTTTTGGCCAAATACATTTTATTATGGTGTTAAACCGCAAATAGCAGTGGGTGCAATGTTGGGTGCAATCGCAACTTTTTTTTACAGTTCACTCCAATTTCCGTTAGCGTGTTCAAAAACTATTTGAAATTGTGTTCCTAAGTGGTATTTTGTATTTCAACTTTATAATTTGTCCATAGTGAATGGGCCGTTCTAGGAGCGCGCGTTATTCATAATTCATGAAGCCAACTAGTGAAATCTTCATTCATAAATGCCGTTGACTAATTTTTTTGGCACTTCGAGTGTAAGTAAAAACTTCTCCAATGATTTGATAGTTTCAGTTGCTCTTCTTGAAGTTACCGGATATGCTTGTAGAAATTGTGAAAAGGAATCTACGATTAATAAGCAGGGCTTATTCCGATTTGATGGTGGGTTAATAGGTCCTTTATGTCAATAAGTATTATGTGGAATGGGAAAGGTATTGAATTAAGATTGTGTCGTTTTTGTTAATTTTTTTGATAATCAAGACAACCCGTGATAAGATGTGTTATTTATTTATACATTCCTGGCCAAAAGAAAAATCGTTTGATGTTTGCTAAAGTTTTATCTTTACCTACATGTCCTGACAATTGATCTTATGTTAAAGTTCAAACAAAAAGTAAACGAAAGAACAAAAGATGAACAAAGCATCCTTGTTGTGGAATCTAATTAAAACTGACAAAGTGCACAAGTTGGCCTCGTAATGTTATCGATGAAAAACCCTCATGCTACCAGACTAATCTTAGATTAAGGTAAGGTCAACAAAACTTCCAGTTCCCTTCTTTCAAAAATTTCCTGTGTATTCCACTGGATTGAAACCTTTCATGAAAAAAAAGAGATTAATTAAAATTTTTCCAAAAATTTTGAGATAAAACTGGTTTGGCAGAAACAAAATCCTAGAGATTCCAACTTCAATGGCATGGAATGATAGAAAGTTTTTGCAAGGCTATGATCAAAAGATTTTTTTTCCTTTTTTTTGTTGTCTCATTTTTAGCTTTTTTCTTGTTTTTTTTCTTGAAATTTAGGAGTGCTTCAAACTGGAAATATAAAAACAAATTGTAACAAGACTGCTCCCTGAACGTTCCGACTGTCTCGTATGGTCTATGGAGCAGTATTAGCATGAAAAAATTATATGTAATAAATACAACGAATTTTGTTTTGAAATTTGAGAACTTTTCGTCCCCCACACACGATATAAAATACAAAGTGATAGATTTCGATCCTAGTAACAAATCGATTATGGCAAAGAAACTTCCTTCATCGATTTTGGAATGGTTTGTAAGACGGATTAAATCTCCGCTTACGCGTTAAAAGCGCGATATATATCGCGCGTTAGTTTCCCAAATTGGCCGAAATGGCAACCTTTAAACCTCCTTAATTTTACGAAAAATGATCACAGATGAAATATGTTTTCAAATCTAATCTGAGGACAACAAAACCTTTCGAATGAAATTTCAAAAATTCCGTCAAATATGGTTAGTTAAAAAGTCGATATTTGTTTGAAAAAACCCACACCGTGCACAAATTTTCCGTTACTTTTGTTACGAAAGTGTGAACCAATAGCTAATTTTAGCCAATTAAATAGCTAATTGCACAGGAATAAAAAAAATGTTGAAATAAATTAGCAGTGCATTACGAGCCAATCTGTGCATTCTGTGCATTGTATGTGGATTACACAACTGGCCAAAATCAGATTTGTCGCGGAATCCATATCACTGCTATTTTTTTTTCATCTTCTTTGCTGTTATGGATTCCACAAACAATTATTTAAAACACTGTTCCTCTCAAAATCGCTCTAAAAACATACAATTTTGCGGAACCCGCAACCGTATTTGCGGAATCCAAATCAGTTTGTGGAGTCCACAAACAAACAATAAGACACGCGTATAGTTAAATTGAGCTGTTGCGGAATCCGCAACGTGTAAGTGGAATCCACAAACTGTAAGTGGAAACCGCATTTTGTTTGCGGTTTTCGTTTACATATATGTATATATGTAGTTGCTAGTAGCGTTTAAAAATATATCTTTTAAATAAAATATTTGATTTCACCAGAATAGGAGTTTATTAGATCATTATTTGGGATTGATGAAATTCCAAATACTGAACTAATTCGACGATTTGCTATGCGTTGGGTTTCTAATTACTCTCAACTTGAATTTACCAAATAATGAATTTATTCCATCAATCCCAAACACTGAACAGTATTTCGAATTGATGGAATCCCAAAGACTGATCTAGTTTGGAGATATGCTGTGTGGCTGTGTGTTGTGTTTCCATACACTCTCAACCCAGTGACTACAATTACTGAATTTATTCGGCGTTATGCTTTCAAAATCAGTATTTGGCATTGGCGCAATCCCAAATACTAACCTAAGTTGGCGATATGCTGTGTGTTGTATTTCTATTCTCTCTCTACTCAAGGACTCCATGTTTTGAAATTATTCGGTGTTGTGTTTCCAAAATACTAAAAGATGACATCCACCGATTTAGGTAACCAATGTTTCAAGACTTGTTCGTGGATTCCGCTGACAAGGGTTAAGCCTTTTTTTTAAATTCCGCATTGCTAGATATAAGAATTCCAGCTCTAGCTTTTAATTGTTCATAATGCAAGTTCAGTTTTAAACAAAATTCGGAATCCACTTACAGTTTGCGGAATCCGCTTATATTTGCGGATTCCGCCGACATTTTGCGGAATCCACTTACAGTTGTGGATTCCAAAACAACTAGCTACATTCGCTTGTTGCGGAATCCGCGACACAACAAATGTGCCGACAAAAATTACGTTACACTCATATGTAGGCGCAATCCACGGAAGTTTTTGTAAGTGGAATCTCCATTCATTTTGTAACATGTTTAAAGATAAGATTTTGCAATCCAGGAACATACAAACACAAAATTGTGCGCCTATACAGTGCACAGTTTGGCCTCGTAATTTGAATTGAAAGCAAAGTCTAACTAGTGACGAGTGCGGACTGGTTTTTCTCAACGATAAATATTTTCTATTGTTCCCACCATTGAAAAAGGAGAGGAACCTTGTATTCGGGTGTCTTTTGTTTTTTTTTGTCTTCCACGCAAAATTAGTTATCACAAACAATTATTGAGTTCAAATGAATGATATATCATCTTAAGTCACATTTCAACTGTGATTCAAAGAACCTTAGTTTTTTGTTAAAACTTCCCAGTTTTGAGAAAAATTAGTTTGAATCTTTTGATTTTGCGTCTATTTTTGAGCATTAAAGCGGTCGAGTAACGGTCGTTATAAATGGAAGTTATCAATTTGGGCTAAAAAAATTTTGAGTTTATCAAAAGAAAAACTAGTTTTGAAAGTTTTATCTAGCGTTTTCCTCCTAAACCTTTCTTAACTACTTTCGTTTTTGTTTGTTTAGTTTTGGAAGACAATTGGAATTGTTAATGCCTAATTTATTAAAATTCCACGCGTTCATTTAGTTGTATTATCACAAGACTTACAAAAAACTTGAATATTGAGAAGATTTCGCTGTCATTGTTTTCTTAGAATACGAAATATGACTGATACCATTTTGATATGATACCTGACCCCTTGGAAACTAAGAACTCTGCGAGTTGCCTGAATATGATCAGAAAAAATATTTCTTCGTTTTACTAACGTCGTTGTCAAATTTCGTTACAAGCAATTGTATTTAAAAAATTTAATTTCATTAGGTAAAGTTTTGTTTGAGACACTTCAAACTTATATAAACACTTCAATTGTACAAAAATTACATACATATTTAATTCATATCATTCATTAGCGAAGTTTCTGTAGATGTCTTCTCCAGATTGCAGCGAGCTTATAAAAGTTATATAAGATTTAAAAAATACACTCATGTGTTTCCGGCTGTTTCATCATTTTTTATGAAAGCGGCTTTAAGCTCAATTCAAAGATTTAAGTATCAATTTAAAATTGAGTTTCTACTTTTTCATCTTTATAAGATGAAGCTTTGTTCGCCTGTCGTTTGAACGCGGGATTTGTGACAAGAATCATGACCAGCAACACAAACACGCCAGTGAAGACGGCAAAGAAGTTTGAGATGGTTCCCCAAGCAGGATATTCTGTGTATCGTTTTCCCGTGGTCCGCTCCACAAAAGAATTTATGCGCGTGAGGCCAGTCATGACTGTTACAAAAGCCAAGATGAAGGTAGCTGCTCCCAGAAATCGGTGCAATGGCAACATTTTTGCCTTCACACTTTCAGAGAGCTAGAAAAATTACCTTGAAGAAAAAATGATCATTTTGACATTTGAAGTCAAATTTATCAATTTTGAAATCAAATTTAACTTTAAACAATCACAAGTGATTTATTTAGAGACCTTTCAATTTCTTAAAGTTACGAATCAATTTTTTGAAGCCAACATTTTAAAAACATAAATTTTGTCGGCTTAAAAAATGTGTTGTGGAAAACCCAACAAGCAAAAATGGCTAGTTTGAAAGGATTATGCAGTTTATCAGTGGATAGCGAAAACTGTATGTGAGTTCCGCAATTTGTGACTGGCTCGGCGTCGCATCTGCAACGAAAATGCGGATCCCGCAAACAAAACTTGGACTCAGCAGAAAAATGCAGTACTCCCGGGTGTTGCTGATGTTGATGAGTTCCTTAAACTATTCTGCTAGAGCAAGATTTGGAGTGAGTGCACTGTGTTTTAACCATTAGTTTCTAGGATTCTGCAAAAGCCAAGAAAACCATAAAGAGAAAAGAAAAACAATCTTTTTAATAGTTAACCAGCCAGAGCCCTAACTCGAAGGTTAAATATTTATGGTTAACTAAGTCATGGCTATCCTACAAGCGCTCATCTTGTAAATAGCAGTGCACGTGCGATTAAAACCCGCAATCATATGATTGCAGGGCGCCAGCGCTAACGATGCGCCACAAAACCACAATCTTGTTGCGGATGTCGCAAAAGTGTCTTCCAAATTAAACCAAAAATTACAATATGCATTTCACTTTTTGTATCAGATTTGATGCTTGTCTGATGCTTAAGTCAAAATTGCTGCCAAACTCTGATGTTTGAACAAAAGAATTTTATAAAGCACGATGAGACGTTATTTAAATTAATTTTACCACCGGTGTGACAAATGCGACCACTCCAAATGCGTACTGGATGAAAAATAGGGCGATGGTGGCTGCCCCGTACCAGGAGTGGGAGCTGTACATGGGGTTGTTGCCGAAAACAATCTTCCTCCGTGCCACAGTGTAGGTCCCCAGACAGATGAAGAGGATTGCAAGAGCATGGACAAATCCGTGCAATAGCTTGACAATCAGTTTCGGAATCTAAAACGCAATAAACCAAAATCTACCAATCTGCAGCTGCTTTAAATCACTGCAGCTGTTGCCCAATGCCAAAGTGAAAAATAATCAAGGCCACAATTAATTATTCTGTAAACTAGCACTTGAGAGAACCACCGGCAAGACTTGAGAGGCTTAAAAATAGTTGCTCATCAATTTGCCCTTACTCGAAATGATTTAAAATTGAAGGGGAATATGAGCCTCTTTCAAACAAACATAAACCTGGGGGCAGATCCCCAATTTTCTTGAGGGGCGGCGCCCGAACTGAAATTTCATGCATAATAATCGATTTTATTGGATTTTCATTGTCAGTTTCTACAAAATAACAAAAATAATCGATTATAATCGATTGAAAATGGATTATAATGATAATATTTTTTAAGCAATAAAATCCCAATATAATCGATTATAATCGATTATAATCGATTATTTTTTAAAAAATAATAATCCATTTTAATCGATTATAATGGATTATAATCTATTTATTCAAATCTTTTTGTGTGTTGTTTTCATTTTTTCATAATTTTGTTAAATTATAGTTAGTTATTTTGTTCTGTTGCTTAATTTCATTTTTTCGTATTTTCAATCGAGTTATTATCAATTGAGTTACTACAGTTAGATTAAGATGTCCCCTAACTAGAAAGAGAGGGGGTACGCCGTGGTTGGGGGTACGTCGTGGTTGGTGGATACGTGGGGGATGAGGGTACGTGAGGGGGGTACGTCGTGGGTTTGGGGGGATACGTGGGGGGGATGGGGGTACGTCGTGGGTTTGGGGGTACGTTGGGGTGCGTGAGGAGCTGGTCAAAAGTGCTGTTTTTGGGCACTTTTTGGAAAATTATTACATATTGGCCGCCCCTAGATGAACGTGTTCGTTCAAGTTTTGCAGAAAGTTGCAAAAATTAGAGTCATTAATTACAAAATTTAATCAATTTTCATGGAATTTAAGTACAAAAAAAATCCATTATATTGAATACAAAAATGGATTATAATCGATTATAATGAATTATAATTGATTTAAATTTTTCCAAAAAATTCGATTATAATCGATTAAAAATCGATTACGTGGTCTAAATTTGACATGATAATCGATTATATAGACAACATTTTAGTCAACAAAAATCCATTATAATCGATTATTACCCATGAACTTTTGGTGCGGGCGAGTGCGGATTTTCAAAAAGTTTCCGATACTTTCGACGACCTTTTTTGTCTAAATTTTTTTTGCTGAGGTCTCCCAATTCACTATTAAAACGCCGTTTTGGGCACTTTTTGGGAGGTTTTCACCAAAAGTTGCTTTTTTTGGCGTGCGCTTTATAGGCCGGCGGTCAAAATGGATTCCGTAAAAAAACCCAAAAAAGGCCTGTAGATGCTCAGTGAATCGAGCCACTGCACAAAACCATTTTCAAATTTTTTTGCTCGAGTTTCTTCGTTTAACGGTCAAAACTACCAACCTGGATTGTCCTGGTGAATCTGAAAACTATATTTGAGTTGCCGAAGAGAAAGATCATGCCAATATACATGAAGATGGGATGATAGGAGAAGAGAGCTGAGTCATCTTTATCGAATGAATATCCCTCGTAGTACTCGTTCAACCAGTCGACGAGTAGGACCAAACTGATGATACCGCAAACTTCAGCCAGTATAACCAAAACTATCATCAATCGATTGCCCCCCACAAAAGTTTCTGCTGATGTCATGTCGTTTCTTTGCTCAGGCATGGCCTTGCGCGTTTTGCTTTCTTGCCGAAAAAGTTGTAAAAATGTTCGAAAGACAAAAAATCATTTGTGTATCCGCAATTGCCTTGTTCGTGCGCTGGTTATGCACTACCAAATATATCGGATTTCTCTGAAGAATTAATTTTTTTTTGTTTAAATTGATTTAAGAGCGAGGTTGGAAACAGAAAAGTGAATGTGATTTTAGATAGCTCAAATTAAACTCTGTCAACTTCAATGAATACGAAAAACCAAATGGTTTAGAATTTAGTTCAAAAGCTAAAGTCAAAAACTATTTATATCACAGGGGAGGCAGTGCATGTTTTAACACACCTTTCATTAAACCAAAAGAATAAAATCTAAATTCGAAAAATTGAACTTCACCAAGTAAAATGAGAGCTCAGCTCCCATCAGCAATGATTACAGCGCCAATCTCAGATAAAATTTTTTTACAGGACAAGGAAGGCAGTACAAATTTCACCTCACCATTTCAAATCAAAAGAAAAAAATCAAAAAATGAAAAATTAAAGGTTGTACAGTACAGTGCTGATTTAAATTATCCGGACAAAACGAATAAAACTTGAATTTCCAAAGCGTTTTTCTCAATTTGGGTTAAGATTAGACGAAAAATGAAGTTACAAAAGTTGCTGAAAATGTTACCAGAATTAATATGGTGCCATTTTTTCTCCGAAATTCTCAACAAAAATTTTACCCCAAGAAGAGTCATTTTGGCTTTTTTCAAAAATTCAAGAATTACGCTGAAACTACTTTGTTAATTGATAAAAAAATTATGGCACAGGAAGCCTCTTACGCAGCTCAACAAAGTTTAGGAAGAGTTAAATCTTCAAAAGTTTGCGCAAATTGTTTAAATTTTATTTTTAAGCAAAAATTCTGGGTTTTATTTAGTAAAAATCACATTTATTGACTATCAAGTGAAAATTTTTTCTGTTATACTGGTTTTTGGAGATTTAATCCTTCATAGACTTTGTTGAACTGCGTAAGAGGCTTCCTGTGATATAATTTTTTTATCAATTAACAAAGTAGTTTCAGCGTAATTCTTGATTAATTGAATAAAGCCAAAATGACCCATTTTTGGGGTAAAATTTTTGTTGAGAATTTCGGAGAAAAAATGGCACCATATTAATTCTGGTAACCTTTTAAGCAATTGTTGTTATGTTCATTTTTTTTCGTCTAATCTTAACCCAATTTGAGAAAAACGCGTTTGAAAATTGAAGTTTTGTTCGTTTTGTCCGGATAGTTTCAATCAGCACTTTATAATGAAAATTAAAATTGCATCACTTCAGATTAAAATTCAAAAAAATAAGACTACATGTATCAGGCGAAGACTTGAATTATTCGACTGACTTTAAGGTCTATGGAGCAGTGTTCGCTTTAAAAAATTGATACATTTCTGAAATTTTTTTATTGTTAAGAATTTTTTTAATAACTAGACCACCCACACGCCATATGAAAAAAAAACAAAAAATCCGTTATATTGAATACAAAAATGGATTACAATCGATTATATTGGATTATAATTGATTTAAATTTTTCCAAAATAATCGATTATAATCGATTAAAAATCGATTACGTGGTCTAAATTTGACATGATAATCGATTATATAGACAACATTTTAGTCAACGAAAATCCATTATAATCGATTATTACCCATGAAATTTTGGTGCGGGCGGGTGCGGATTTTCAAAAAGTTTCCGATACTTTCGACGACCTTTTTTGTCTAATTTTTTTTTGCTGAGGTCTCCCAATTCACTATTAAAACGCCGTTTTGGGCACTTTTTGGGAGGTTTTCACCAAAAGTTGCTTTTTTTGGCGTGCGCTTTATAGGCCGGCGGTCAAAATGGATTCCGTAAAAAAACCCAAAAAAGGCCTGTAGATGCTCAGTGAATCGAGCCACTGCACAAAACCATTTTCAAATTTTTTCGCTCGAGTTTCTTCGTTTAACGGTCAAAACTACCAACCTGGATTGTCCTGGTGAATCTGAAAACTATATTTGAGTTGCCGAAGAGAAAGATCATGCCAATATACATGAAGATGGGATGATAGGAGAAGAGAGCTGAGTCATCTTTATCGAATGAATATCCCTCGTAGTACTCGTTCAACCAGTCGACGAGTAGGACCAAACTGATGATACCGCAAACTTCAGCCAGTATAACCAAAACTATCATCAATCGATTGCCCCCCACAAAAGTTTCTGCTGATGTCATGTCGTTTCTTTGCTCAGGCATGGCCTTGCGCGTTTTGCTTTCTTGCCGAAAAAGTTGTAAAAATGTTCGAAAGACAAAAAATCATTTGTATATCCGCAATTGCCTTGTTCGTGCGCTGGTTATGCACTACCAAATATATCGGATTTCTCTGAAGAATTAATTTTTTTTTTGTTTAAATTGATTTAAGAGCGAGGTTGGAAACAGAAAAGTGAATGTGATTTTAGATAGCTCAAATTAAATTCTGTCAACTTCAATGAATACGAAAAACCAAATGGTTTAGAATTTAGTTCAAAAGCTAAAGTCAAAAACTATTTATATCACAGGGGAGGCAGTGCATGTTTTAACACACCTTTCATTAAACCAAAAGATTAAAATCTAAATTCGAAAAATTGAATTTCACCAAGTAAAATGAGAGCTCAGCTCCCATCAGCAATGATTACAGCGCCAATCTCAGATAAAATTTTTTTACAGGACAAGGAAGGCAGTACAAATTTCACCTCACCATTTCAAATCAAAAGAAAAAAATCAAAAAATGAAAAATTAAAGGTTGTACAGTACAGTGCTGATTTAAATTATCCGGACAAATCGAATAAAACTTGAATTTTCAAACGCGTTTTTCGCAAATTGGGTTAAGATTAGACAAAAAATGAAGTTAACAAAAATTGCCTAAAATGTTACCAGAATTAATATGGTGCCATTTTTTCTCCGAAATTCTCAACAAAAATTTTACCCCAAAAAGAGTCATTTTGGCTTTTTTCAAAAATTCAAGAATTACGCTGAAACTACTTTGTTAATTGATAAAAAAATTATGGCACAGGAAGCCTCTTACGCAGCTCAACAAAGTTTAAGAACGGTTAAGTCTTCAAAAATTTGCGCAAATTGTTTAAATTTTAATTTAAAGCAAAAATTCTGGGTTTTATATAGTAAAAATCACATTTATTGACTATCAAGTGAAAATTGTTTCTGTTATACTGGTTTTTGGAGATTTAATCCTTCATAGACTTTGTTGAGCTGCGTAAGAGGCTTCCTGTGATATAATTTTTTTATCAATTAACAAAATAATTTCAGCGTAATTCTTGATTAATTCTATGAAGCCAAAATGACCCATTTTTGGGGAAAAATTTTTGTTGAGAATTTCGGAGAAAAAATGGCACCATATTAATTCTGGTAACCTTTTAAGCAATTGTTGTTATGTTCATTTTTTTTCGTCTAATCTTAACCCAATTTGAGAAAAACGCGTTTGAAAATTCAAGTTTTGTTCGTTTTGTCCGGATAATTTCAATCAGCACTGTATAATGAAAATTAAAATTGCATCACTTCAGATTAAAATTCAAAGAAAAATAAGACTACATGTATCAGGCGAAGACTTGAATGATTCGACTGACTTTAAGGTCTATGGAGCAGTGTTCGCTTTAAAAAATTGATACATTTCTGATTTTTTTTTATTGTTAAGAATTTTTTTAATAACTAGACCACCCACACGCCATATGAAAAAAAAAACAAATAACAAATAGCAGCCATACAAAAAAAACAAATAACAGACTTCCTGTTTCAAGTTACGAGTTCTTGTTCACTGTCGTATTGCTGGTACTACGTTACTCTTATCGGCAGTTTAAAAAATTATTTGAACAAACGTTTTTTTTCGGATCGTACAACCTACCTTCCAGGTTTGAAATCTATATCTCTTCCAATACAAAAGTCAACAATAAAAACAATGACGCACAACAACATCAAACAATTTAATCAAAATTGATTCAGTCAGAATACGATATCGAGTTGAAAGCGATTTTCCCCGAAAACTCAACAAAAAAATAAAGCTTTAAAGTTAGGCTATTGAGGTATGAGAAACGGAAAAATTTTAACCATGAGCAAAACGATTTTCCGCTGCACCCTCCTTGTTTGAATGAACTTTTGTTATGTTTGTATCCTAAACAAAAAACATGTAAAAAGCAGGTCAGCCTAGGGTTCCACAATATATTGGATGGAAGCTATTTTAGCTAAACTCTAGAAAAAATGTAATAATCGAGTGTCTTTCCTGTTTTTCTTTTATTTTTTCAACTTCATCTTTTTGTTGTTCAAGAGAAGCGTTTTTCGCTGGTCTTGAATAAAATGCAGACAGTATCAATTTTAGTAGTAAGATGATCTATCAAACTCATTTCTAGTTTGTGAACTCGACCTTTCTATCTCAAATTAATTTTTAAAACCAAATAAAGCGATAGTTAGGGTAGAAGGAGCAGCAAATTTCCTAGAGAGGAACACGTTTCAAGAATTTAGAAATGCACAGCCTCTGAAAACCCAACTTCATACTGTCTCGATATTCTGTTGCAAACAAAAGTTGTTTCTAACAGCGGTTTACAAGTCGCCCAGCCTAGTGCACAAAATGAGAGTTTCCTTCAATCTTTATTGATTCAAATGTTTGAATTAAAATTGACACTGATGATAAACGTTTATTAAGTGGAGACGTTAACATTGATGTATCTGCTGTGACTTAAAATAGACTGCAACTCCTTGAAAAAGTGGAACTGCTGAATTTCATTGTGATGTTTGGACAAAATGACATCTTGTGTGTTACACAGAAAACTCAAAAAACCTTAGATTTGGCCTTTGAAGTTTTCCATTCGTCACTAAAAATATTGAACACGAAATCACTGATCACTATGGTGTTGAAGTTGGCTTTATGTTTGGCCTCATAGAAGTCTGTGAAAAGAAAGATGTCAAAGCAGAAATTATGGAAAACTGAAAAAACAGGAATCGAAAATGGTGTTCAATTATTTTCTGCATACAAAAGTGATCAAAGTGAACTTGAAAGTAGTGAAAGTAGTATCGATGAAAAACGTGTGTTCAAGCAACAGCATGTTCGAAGTGCTCTGGATGCAAATATACCATTGTCAGAAAGAAAGGCAAAAAAACTGGCTATCGAGTGATATTAAAAAAGCGAGTGCTATAAAACGCCAACTTACGAAAAAAAACTGAGACCACAAACTGTCAAAGTCAGAAAAATAGTATTGGAAAGGAAA